CAAGCCGTCGTACCGGGCTGGGTAATAAGAGAAAAGAAAGAGGGGAGAGGGAGGGAAAGAGAAAGAAAAAAAAAGGAAAGGAAAGAAAAAGAAAAAGAGAAGAGAAAAATAAAGACAAGAAAGTAAGATATCATAATGACCAGATTCACAACACCCTGCAACCCTTCTTCACTTCAAAAACCGTCATAACTCCTTTGATCTATGCTGCCCGATGGCGTAACCACTGGGGGGGGGGGCAAGGGGAAAATATCTATCTTTGAAAAATCTTCCCCACCCCTTTATAAATGCCCTTTTCATCCCCTGAAAGTGCCTAAAAAACCTCAAATTTCTTTCGCATTTCTTGTTAGCATGGGTCAATTTCCTCTAAAAATTGCACATTTTAGGGAGTTTTGATCAGTTCCAACGAAATTAGAATTAAAAACACCGGGGGACAAGGAAAAAATATCCATCTTTGGAAAATCTTTCCCCACCACTTGACAAATGCATCCTCTGAAAGTGCCTAAAATTCTTAAATTCTTTGCTCGCATTTCTTGTTACGGTAGGCCAATTTCCTCTATAAATTGCACATTTTATTCCGACGAAATTAGAATTAAAAACACAAAAATATTTTGCGCGCTTCGCGCGCATTTTTTAGGTTTATCCTTTTAAGTTATTTAAACACATAACCCTAATAATAGTCCCAAACTCAAGAAAGACAAATTTAAGATAGATCGTTTTAACCAAAAAGAAGGGCCTCAATATGTATTGATGGTGAAAGAATGTTTGTAATAAATAAAACCATGATGAAAATGCTTATATTTAGTATCAAACACACTTGTGTGGCCTATATTATAAATAAGATAAGCCCTATGTCGTATTGTTTTTTTATTTGGGGAGTGGGGTGGGGTGGGGTGGGTATGGTAAATTACTAACCGGGAAAATAAATACCCACTCTCACCCAAGACCCCTGTTACGCGCCTGGTGTTGGCGCCAATGTGTGCCCTTGTGCGGACAGGGGATGTGCCCCCCCCCCACCTCTGAAGCTGGAATTCTTGTTTTTGCAAAATAAATTGATGCAATTTGCTATTATAGGCCTAATCAATAAATTCCTCATCAATCGATATCAACTTAAACATTCTTGGAATTGACATAACATACTGATGTTGTACACACCCTTGAGTGTGAAATGTGGCTCTCTTTGCAAGCACATCTAACATCTAAGGAAAGAAGAGCGTAGGTTGGTACCAGATAAAATAACTTTGTTATCAACATTAATACATTATGCTAATTTTCATCTTTGTAAGCGCATAAGACAGTGCAAATTATTTCTGTGACAGTCTTTGAGTGTGTAAAACTCCATTTTATCCCATACAT